AGTGGGAAGGCTGTGACTGTCTTTCTGGTCTCTTTTGAAAGATCCATATTTACCCCCTAGGGTGCCTGCCTATTATGGATCCCAGTAAGAAAAAAGTATGCATTCCTCATAGAGGGACCCATACGGGATAGGAAGGGTTTCTAGATCTTCAGTTACACTCTTACCATGGAGAAAAATAAATATTTCCCAGGTGTTAAAAGACTCATAACTGAATGCTAAGGTACATTTTCCTCCACAGTTGTTAAAACTATCAGTGCCCTGTCTGCAGTATTTGCCATGTGTTACTTAACTTATGCTAGATAGAAGGTGGTAAAAACACTAACTTTTCCTAACAAACTTAAAGCAGCAAGTCAAAGTTCAGCAAGGGCCATTTGAAAAGCATTTCAGCGAAATCCCAGTTGGTTCAGCCTGTATCATGTAAGAACAAGTCTGACTGGCAGATTCTGTCCTTAAGTGAAACCTTTCAGGCAGTTGTGGTTCGGGGGTATATAATTCAAAGCAACAAGGTTTCATTGTGACACTGGATTATTAGGATAGCGGACTGAAGAACACAACACTTGCATGAAAAAAAGTGGCCATTAAAAATACTTAGTAGGTGATAGGAATTTTTGTACCTAAACTGCTTTCTAGATTTGTCTGCAGCTGTCTTTGTTGGAGGGAGATGGCTATTTTTCCAGGCACTATAAACTTAGCCAGTATAACATAGTGCAGAAAGGAAGCATTTCACTCCACTCACTCCAATTTGTTATGGGTTTGCTTGAATCCTGCAAGGCATGTGTACCGTAAGACAAACCATAAACTGTGTTTATGCATGACATGAGGAACATCAGACATGGCCTGCTGAGTTTGGAAGCAGCAGACCTCTAGGGCAATAAGTCACAGCGCACAAATAAATATTATGTTGACGCAGCAGCAGAATTTTAAACAAGAACAAATCCTCTCTGGGCTGTTTTCCTAATGATTAGCACGCACGTATAGAAGATGAGACCTTTACAGGCCTTTGTCGGGAGCAGGAAAATCTATCAGTCTGGTTTTCCATCTCTTTCCATACATTGTGTTGTCCCAGTGCTGTGACCTGTTTTTGCTCGGGACCTGTGAGGTCTACCCGTCCTTCTCCCCTCTTCTGGACTACTCTTCAGTAGTCCCTTGTTCAGCTTGGGTTGCTCAGAGACCTGGGTCGGGCCCTGTGTGAGCACAGGGAAACACGAAGATTGACAAGAGAGCAAATGCAACATGTGTTGGCATGAGAAGGGAAGATGTCAATTTTTATCTGCCATCTTTTTATCTGTCAGATTTTTGTGAACTTTTTAACCTTATTGCAGTCCTGACAAATGTGCAACAAGGAGATAGGAGGGAGCAGAATCTACTTTTGTTGCCTGTTCATCTCTTTTCTAGCTCTTTAACAGAGGGGCTTTCCCATCTAATGTGTGATTGTTGCTTTAGTATACTCCATATCATAAGCTGTTGTCCTTCCCTGAATGTCTGATAGTTTACAAGTGTGGGAAACTCACAGCAGGTCACACAAGAGAGTTCTGCTTTTGGCTGCAGAGGAGAAATGCTCACAATCATCCTGCTGTATCCTAGAAATGATTTTCACAGTCTGGCGGCAGCAGGTGCCGAGAAAGCTGACCTGTGCGCTTCCCCATCTTGCCCTTGAGGATAGTAAGCCCGTTTTTGCAGAGGCCAGGGGTGTTGCAGGTGAAGAGAGTTATACTGATGAAGATGGTCCTGAAAGTTACTTATGGGAAACATCAGGGACTGGACCCCCTTGAATTCATACATGAGCTGTATAGCGTGTGAAGAGGTTGGAGGAGCCAGAGAGAGCAGACAGCAGCGTTTACTTCTGAAACTTTTAGAAAGTCAGAAAAGTCCCACCCCTTCAATTGCATCCTGTTTAATAAGAAGGCGCTATAGAATATAAATGAGATGTGGACATGACAGATTTTCAAAAATGCTTCTCTCGCTCTGCTTTCATCATCATTCTCATGCTGAGGCCCAAATACTTGTCTGATTTTTCCGGATACATCAATTGGTCTACTTGTTCTGCCTGCAGCTATGCTTCCCAAGGAGAGCTGGACGCTGCTTGTGTTATCGGTGTTTAAAACTGTGCTGTCAGGTGAGCAGAGAGATGATGTTGGTGCAGATGAGCTTGGAGCCTGATAAAACTGGTAGCGCAAAAATTTGTGCTTGAGAAGTTTGGGAAACGCTGACCTAAATCTGTGAACAACACCTCTGGAAAAAGGGCTGCTTTTTCCAAGCTAGGAGAAGGTTGGAAGGAAAGTGGTGTTGTCATGTGAACAAGGCATGCAACATTAGCTCTCCGAGCTGCTGTTTAATGGCTTTTTAATCTGAATGACTGTGTCGCCAAAGATTCTGTTTGCAGAGGAGAAGGTATTGAAAACTCATAACGAACAGTTCTGCGTCCAGTAATTTTAGATCTTTTGAAAGCTGACTACTAAATTTCTAGGACCAAAATCTCTCGTCACTGTCTTGTTTTACTATTACTGGAGAGACTGTTGTTCATGCACATTAAGGCAAATCAGAGAGTGTGAGAGGCTTGACAAACTATTTACACAGTTGACTCTCTTGTTTCCACTTGTGTCTTTCATCCTTCTTATCCTCTCCTTGTGTCTCTGCCTCTCTCAGTTTTTCTGTTTGATTTTTCTCCCTCCTTTTCTCCCTTTTTCATGCACATGTTAAATGATCTTCTCAGACAAGCATCACAGAAAAGCTGTTTTTTAAATTAACACAGGCTCTGCTTTTTTATTGACTAGCCTGTAACAGCTAATGTGATTTGCATTTCTATTTACCAGTTTTCTATTATTAGACCCAACATACCGGGACTAATATGCAGGTAAATACTAGTCACCAGTGGAGCTGCTAATTGCATGGATTAATTAATCATTCCAATTGGATTTGTTGTTCTCCAAACAGAGATGTGATTAAAGCAAGGAAAAGTCTCTGCCTGGCTTATCGTTTTAGAATGAGTGACTTTAATATGATGTGCTACCTCCTATAAATCAAATGCCTGATTATTAATGCTCAGATATCACACCCAATGCTGAAGTGGGAGGGCAACAACTATTCCTGTCAATCCTGCTGCCGTTAATCATCATGCTGAACACTTCGTGTCAGACAGTTCCTTGACTGTTGCCAAGGTGCTGGGCGGTACATTAACATTGCAGCAGTTCTTGGCCGGATTACCTGCAAGGTGGACTGGCAGCTTCTATGTAAAATGGCTCTTCCACCACTGGCAAACACATCCCGTGCCTTTAAAGGAGTAGTCTGTTTTTCAGACTTCTCAGTTCACACCACCTGCTCTAGGCTCTCTGTATCTAGCTGGATTCGAGCCAGGGTCCCCTTCCTATTTAGCAGTACAAGAGCAGTGACATGGTTATAGTCCTCGAAATTTGTTCACAAAATGCAGGTTGAGAATCCTGAGGCCAGAACAAATGAAGGGTCGGTGGGCCTCATTAATCCAGCACTCTTTTAGTGGTGCCTGGCCTGTAAAATCTGAATGGCTGATGCGTGACAGAGAGCCATGGCTGGACAGAAAGAGAGATATGCCCCTTTCAGTGCTGCAAGTCAGACCGAGGGACATGTTCACTGACCTCCAGCTGAAGTATCAGAGGCAGCGGAAATCCATAAGCTCCAGGTTTGGTTCAGTGGCATTGCTTCCTACCCTACTGCAAGCTGCTGCCCATCCCAACAGACAGAAGGGGGAAAAAAAAAAAAAAAGCTGAGTGTGCATCAGCTCACATGGACGGTTGCTGCAGAATGCTTCAACAGAATGCTTCAACTTTTAAAAGCCTTTTATTATTAGGCTGTAACAAAGCTGCTTTGTGCCATAAATATAAAGAAATAACCCACTTCCCCTCTCTGTCTCAGGTGGATGAGAAAAGTTCCTTTCTTCCTTGTTCACAGTACTCTCTAGGGCTTGACCCTCTGTGTGGGAGGCAAGTTAGAAACCACTAACAAGGACAGAGAGGAAAACCCGCTCCCCTTCCCTGCGTGGGCCATGGAATTTATCACAGCAGATTCTGTCCTCACTGGTCTCCCTTCAACCTCACCGGCAGGTACCTGCATCTCTCTTTGCTGATGCCTACGGAGGGTAAAATTCCCTGCTCTCGCTTCAGAAGAGCCTTTTAGCCGGTGGTGCTAAAGCAGTGGAGATTTGAGGTAGCAGTCCCACAGGGTGTGCTTTGCTAAAGCCTTCACACTGGATCAAATCCATTGTGGGTCTATTCGGTGTGAATGCAGACTGTCCCTTGCTTTCAGTAGCCAGAATCATGCTTTAAAGGAGGTATTGGAATCACTGTCCATTTGTATGTGGCCTGGAGCTTTTTATTGATTTGTCATTTAAAGCCAAAGTTGTACAGAACTAAGGGAAGGCGAAACCTGGCCTGGGTGAAAAGTTCCAGCATTGTTTTGCCTGAGCTTTTAAACAAATGAAACACGTCAAACAGGATGTTGTGTCCCAGGCGTTGTCTAGAGATTTCCATTTCTCTTCCCCAAGTATTGAGTCTGCTGAACTTGTCCATAGCCCTGACAAGCCTCCGCTCCGGCAGCATGAATGTCCTTTTGTTGTTCTTTGCAGTCTTTTTTGCTGACATACATCTTGATGTGCGTCAGGCACTCTGCCTCCCAAAGTCAAAACAGCTGCATCTTAGAGAGAGGGGAAACCTTCAAGGGAATAAACAAACAGATCCCTCTCTGTGGTCTACTGGTAGTAACAGATAATTAAGTCTAAAAAAGTTCAGCAGAGCTCCTAAGGGAAGACATTTATCGCCAGGCAAAACCTAACCATGTCTTTTGTGTTACCCTGAATGCAGCCCTGAGTCTAGGAACTGTGGCGGTGATCTGGTGCATGTTTAGATTCTTTCAGTCTTAAAGGTAATCAGCCACTCTGTGATTGGGTGTTGATGGGAAGCCTGAGGATATAAAGGAGTGAAATCAAACTGTATCAAGCCATTTGAACATAATCTTTTTTCTCCCTGCAGGCCTTTCTTCACCGAATCCGCCAGAATGCTGTGGACAAAGCTGAGAAGTACATCACAGAGGAGAATGTTAAGGTATTTCTTCCATCATCTTCATTTTCTTGGCAGGCAAAAGCATATGTAATGAAAGGCTAGATTCAGGGATGTAGAAATCAGATATCCTCAGGTCATGCTGATGCTTATTATTAAACTGGTTCCCTAATGAAGAAGCTCATGTCATCAGTTTGTTTATCAGCCTTTTTGCCCATTTGTATACCTGTCATCTTCCAGCAATTTTTCATCCCACTGACTGATTTTAGCAAAATTTGTTAAGAGTGTAGTGTTGTCAGAGATACTAAATTTTGGCAAGATTTGTGAAAAATGATGGTGAGTAGAGGACAGAGAGACTTTTCAGTGTCTTTACTGAGGGAAAGGCATGGAACGGAAAGCCCTTATCAGCTTTGCTTGGCAGCATCCAGTTAGCCAATTTGCATCTGCTGTCTCTTACAAACCAAAAGTTCATAGGTGGGAGTATGAGAAGGAGGCAGGAGAATTCCTTTAGGTTGTAGTGGGAAGGAATTTGGCTTTCTATGGGAAAAATAAGGAATCGGAGACCCTTGCAGATTCTCGGGAGGTTCCTGAAGGAATTTTGCACTGGAGAGACATATGAGACATATGACACAGATCTGTGAGGTACTAGCTTCCTTAGTGCATGTGGTCACAGGACTGCTTGTTATTGTTTATTTTCAAAAACATTTTGCAAATGACTCTTTGCTTATAGTAATTTGGCTTAAAAACCCTCTGTGCACATATGCATGTGAAACCTCATGGCCAGTGCAATAAGGTGCAGTTTGTTTGCCATTACTGGTTTACGTATTGGGCTTGTGTTTGATCCTATACATCCTAAATCAGCAGAGACTTTGCTCTTTACATTAATGGGAACGGCCCAGCAATAATGGTTATGTCACATGAGCCAGCACTACAGCTGACATGTTTCCCCAAGACTGGTTCCTCCGTTTTACGTAGTCATATTACCTGACTGTATAGAGATTGTACTAGGGCTCCAGGCCCTATATTGCTACTCATTCTGCAGGCTAGCGATACTGTAGTATTGAGTGACTGACGTCAGAAGGGAGCAGGAGCAAGTAGATGTGTAAATGGTTTGGCAGCTTTGTGGAGTTAAGTCTCTCTCTGTCTTTAAACTTGGAAGTCCCTGCTCGCAGGAAGCTTGCCATCTACAGTCTGAAGTAAGTACAGGGATGTCTGAGGGAGAAGTAGACCAGAGCACAACTGAGATTGCCATTCATGGCAGAGCAAAGTAGGGATTTAGATCCCTGGCAGAAATGCCAACACAACCTTGCTTGTCCTGCCTGGAAGTGTCACTCTTACTTGAGACGTGTTACGATGTTGAATGTGTAGTGTTAGTGATAACGGATCCTGTGTGCAGAGAAGTGTGCTAAAAACTGTGTTCTGGGTGAGAAATAAACCTACACAACCATTTGCCGATTTGATGAATAACCAAGGATGTTGGTTGATGAAAGTTGTTATTAATTTTATCATTATTCATATATCATCAAAATGAGTATTTATTATGACTGTCATGTAATCAGATGCATTGCCCACAAAGCCCATGCAGAGGAGTCCTTATTTCCTCAACTGATTAAATGTATTTGTATTTGAAGGTCTGGGGAAGTAGCACTTTCTTTTTGTGTCACTCTTGAAGTGGGGAGGGAGGCTTTGCAGGGCCGTTATAAGGCCTCATTAATTCTTGCTATTACAATACTCGGCTTTCAGTAATAGAGTTTCCTTTTCATAGTAAAGGACCTGCCCTATTGCTGGCTGATACAGAATCACAAAGGCGCAGTTTTCTTGTCCAGAGGCAATGTTATCTTCCTTCCCCCCACCCCAATTTCATTGTCTTTCATGCAGTCAAGAGGTATTTTTCCTTTCTTTCCCTTTGCGGAATCTTGCTGGTAGAGGCAGAACAAGTGAGGTTGTGCTAGGACTTCTGATAACCCTGCTCGCTAATATTATTTATCTGGAGTTGCCAGGGAGCTGTGAGGTGGCTGGCAGTGGCAAAGATGGTAGCAGAGGGTGTTTAAAAATTTTGGCAACTTTTGTAAAGAATAGTCTGTCTCTTCCTCTCCTCCTTCATGCAGTGGAAATGTCTAGAGGAAGATCCAGGGCGTTTTGGCAGTCACACCCTCTAAGCAAAAGGAGAAACTACTTTTTAGGATAATTTGGGATAATATTCCTGGTATTATTTTTGCAGTTTTCTCCTGCAGCTGGTACTAAGCACTGGAGATTTCTATAAATCTTGGCCACTGGAAACTGTGCAGGCCCAATTTCTTTAAGTACTCCAGTGACTAACAGTTATCCCAGCAGATGCAGCAGTATCATCAAAGACTTCTTTTCAGGTTATTCACTTCCCATATGGGAATAGCTCTATTGATATGTTAGTATTACACTGCATTCACAGCAGGGCACTAACGTCACTTTACTGATCCAGTAGAGTGAAGGCAGTACAACTTGAGGGTGTAGACAAGCTGCCAGGTGTAAATCCTCTGTATGACACTTACAAATGGTAACTGTTTATCAGATACAGAAGCAAATGCAGTCGAGGTCTCTCTGCCACCTTGATTTTCAAGTGAGTCTTGTTAACTTTGAATTCTGCTGCAAGCAGAGCTGTGCTGGGCCATCACAGAATACATTAGGTTACACAGATGGTAACCTAACCACAGATGGAGCCTTGGTTCAAAAAATACCCACCCTGAGGACAGCTCCTGAAGGATAAAGTCATCCCTGACAGATGTTTTCCTCTTCCTTGTTAATCTGCTTTTGGCACGGCTTGTGGCAAAGCCATGCGGATAGAGGCTAGCGTAGCATCACATCAGTTGCAGCCATGCAATGGAACTGTGGTACACTCTGCTTGAACCTGCACTGGAAATTTTCCTTTCTTTTGGAGAATTGAAGAAGCTGTTCAGAGACCATCAGTGCAAAGTCAGTGTGTTGGAATTGTTAATTAATTCAGAGCCAGAAAGGAGCTATGAGATACAAGTATGCATTAACAGTGGTGCAGACTATCATATCTCAGCATTCCTGAAGTGAGAGGGGAGCAAATACAAGGATACAATGTGCTGTGCTCTGTATGTGCAGCCAGCTTGCAGGAGGAGTCTTAGGGAAATACCCTCCCCATCCTTCATAGCACAAGGGATAGAGATGTATCAGCCTGAATGCAGAGAGGAACACTCCTTGACTCCCTAATCTTGCCTACCCCTGCAAAACCGGAGAGAAAGTGGTTTTAAACCAGGAATCATTCCTGTCTTTAATGATTAGACTTAATTTGCAGATTATTGTTTTTCTGAATTACTGCCACATCACCATCTGCCAGGCTGAATCAGTGTCACATCTGGTGAATACATTTCCCATATAAAGCTGTAAAGCTCAGTGCCACTATAAGGTGCTGTGGGAAGTATTAGAACGTTTAAACTTGTTTATTTCCCCCACCGAGTGCTGGGAAGCCGACGGCTGATTCTGTCAGGCTGCAGGCTTTGGGGTTCAGAGGACCATCTCCCACTCAGCAGGCAAGAGCTGGGAGGCCGCTTCCAATGCGAAAAGTGGTTTGGCTTCACTGTCTCTGCAGAGATCCCAGGATTTCGTCTGCCTGTTCAGGCTATTCTCTAGTAGCTGTCCGTACTGATAGCTGGGTCTCCATGTGTCAGGACTCGCCTCCCCTGTGCAAGTAGCATCCCATCTTCTATACTTGCATTCGTGCTTTCTCTTCATATTTCATATGACGACAATTAAGGCTAATAAAGCTTATGTGTTCATAGCAGCTTTCACCCTGGTAGTTTACTCCCCTTAGCACATATATCTCCACATCTCTAGGGATCATTTATTTGTGAGATTACACCGTTTCCTTTTAGCGCATGTGTAAACTAGGGGCCTGACTCCCATTATGTATGCCTTTTACAGCCACTCACATCAGTAAAAGGGAGCTCTAAGTAAAATGCTACTCTTGTGGTTTGAAAGCATTTTACGTGATTCTGTACCCCCGTCATTGGAATCCCACGTAGCAGAGATTGGGTCTCTCATTTACAGGTACATCTTTGCATGTAATAGTTTCTTCCACAAAGTGATTTATCTTGTGTGGGAAGGAAAACGAATTGACTTCCTGCTGCTTTCTGTTGCAAAGTGAGTTTCATCCTTGTGATTCCATTTACCTGGTTTGCCTCATAGGAAACCTTCTCTACCATTGACAGAGGCTGCTCACGTTCATCACGCTGGTGATGAAGGTACCTGGAAAGTACCTTCTTTTACAGGAGGTACTTCAGTGGCAGTAAATGTTTCCATAGCAGGAAGGGAATGTGGCATGTACAGTATCATTCATTCTCTGTCAGATACTGATCATTCCCTATACAGTCACTATCTGTGCTTTAGATCTGGCAAGTCTAGTGCCACAGACTTGGTACTTCTACTTTAATAAAACACCCTTTTTATTTACATTTCAGATCTTATTTTCTAACATTGAAGATATTCTTGGCGTTCACAAGGAGTTCCTGGCTGCCCTGGAATTTTGTTTACAACCAGAACCTCAGTCTCAGCATGAACTGGGAAATGTTTTCTTAAAATTTGTAAGTACAATGACTTAATGCTATCTGAAAATGCAGTTTCCTGTCATAAGCTCCCATGCCCCTTAGCTAGCCCTAATCTCTTAAGTTTTGGAGTGGTACCATGACAATGTGTGCTTGTATGAAAGTTGTAGGTAGGGTGGGAAAAACCTTGTGAATGACATTAGAACAATAGAAACCACATCAAACCCAGCTAAACATGAGGTATTTTTAGAAACTCTTCGTTTTCCCATTGAATATTTTTTCCCTTTTTTTTTTCTCACCCAGCTGATCACATTTTACTGCTGAGTATTGTCTGCTTTGGCTCCATCTGTTTCAAAAAGCAGCACAATTTTAAGTAAATAAATAGATTTTTTTGGTGTATTTTAATATAAAAAAAATTGAAACCCACAAAGGTCAGAATTCAAAACTAAGGACAACATATCATCTATAGTAGTTAGTATCTGTGCATGCTTTTATCCTTCAGTAAATAAAAAGTAATGTGAGATGGCTTATCTTGCGCTTGGCTGAAATGCAGCAGAAGTTACAGTAACACAGCCAGTTACCACAGAACAAATGAAGTGTCTGAATTCTGTGGCTCAACAATACAGAAAATTGGCTTTTGGACTCATATTACTGACTCAAGAATGCCAGAACTACAAAATACAAAGTAGTATCGTACTCTACCAGTTCCAGGTTGTTCAAAATGCTTTGACAGGTTACTTTTATGTCGTCTGACATTATGCCAGATAGCTGTATTGTTTGTTCTCCTGCAGCTTATGTAAAAATATACAGTTTCATAAATACAGTGTTCTGCTAATACATCCATAATATGATCATGTGTGCCAACCTGATCTGGTCAGATTTGTACTGCTTGGTGATACAGTAAAGCACAGACCTATATTGAGGATCCTGGAGTTAACGGCTTATGATCCTACCACTTCTTCTCTCATTGGAATTTCTTTCTTATACTGTGAAATTCTCCCTGTGGTAGTTTATTTTAACTTGGCCTGGTTTTCAGTCATGTGTGCATGCCATCCTATGACTAATTTATACATAAGGCACACTGATTGTGTATGCAAGATCAGTTATTGCATACACCTAGTTTCAAGCTGGGTTCATTTAAATGCAAAGTTACCTGATTTACATGTATAAGAAATGTGGCATTGCACTTTTTTAACACGCAGCTGCCCTCCTGAGATGTTTGAAAATTAGAAAGCACCTACCTAATAGCATTTCTTCAAATTCTTATTAACTGCATTCAGCCCCAGCTCAACTTCCTATCAAAATTTGTTCTATCACATTCTTTTAACAATAATCCATGCTTTCACAGTTCATTGGGTTTGAGTGGGCAGCAATTATACAGCCACTGATTATTCCTAAAGCTTTACCAGCTACTATTTTATTAAAATAGTAGAAGAATGTGTTGTATTGAGACAGTGCCCAAAAGTTATGTCAGCTGTGAGGACTGACAGTCGGCTGCTGAAAAACATACTGATTAACTTCATTAAAGCCTTGAATACCCACTAGAATCATTGTCTACCAACAGGATATGCTCTACTAACATATTCATGTATTCATTAACTGAGGGTATCAAAATGGGATGCCTTTTGAGTGATACTGTGAAACCGTCTCCTATATTTCAGAGTAGCACTGGCTAGCCAGAAAATGTTAACATCTTATCATTTGACTGAATTCAAACCTGGTGTATAATTGCCCTGTCATTGGTAGTATTTTTTTTTTGGACGTGCATATAGCATTTTGTAACTTTATTACTGCAAAATTTAAAAGTTATTTAATTGAATGTTCCCTATTCATTAAACATGCAGAAATACAGGATTCATGAAACTAATGTATAAGCAATGAATGTTGATGAGAATTTATCTTCTGATAGAGGCTGATGGACAGAGATGAGCTTACGTTACAGTCTGTGGTGTGTATTGCAGATAACGTGTGCATCAACCCTTTCACGATACCCTAGGGGAGAAGACCTGCAGCTTGCACAGAAGTCAGACACCTTTCAATTCAGAATAGTTATAAAAGGCTAGTCTCATCCCTAAGGATGCCTAAGTACCTTAAGGATGTGTAGGAATAACACTGAGAGCATTGTGGCCGCTCAAGTCTGAGTAGAGAAGAGTCAACAAAAGGATAGCAAGAGAGCGAGAAATAGTCTGTCCTTGCATGCTAATTGTCTGGATTTGAGAAGACAAACTGCACTGCAGCAACCTGGGAGTGAGGGAGGTGGGATTTATGCCCTGTCACACTGCAGGCTTCCGCAGTGAATCTCTAGCGAGTGACAGGGAGATGCTAGTGGCGGTGCAGAGTGAGTCATAGTTCCTCTCTACTCAGGCTTCCAAAGCTCCATTTCCCTAACTGGGGCTGCTCTGGTGAACCAGAGGTATTCATAAGAAAACTGTGTCTCAGAAATGGTCGTTATTCCTAGAGGCGTTTCCATGGTTCTTTCTGAAACCAGTTTTTTTGAAATGGTGTGCAGTATTTTGCCACAAGAAGCCCTTGCAGCACACTTGAGGCTTCTTTGAGAAAAAGCCAGCCACTGTCTTCCAGTGAGGCGGTCATGCAACATGGCTGAAGAGCTTTCTCTAGAGTGTGTGTTGTTAGCCAGCTTACCCAGGGAAAAATATATTCCTTTGGTATTTCATTTTGGATAACATCCTCATGTTGTTGCAGTGCACTTAAAAGAAGTGCTAGGGAAAGCAGCCTCAGTGCTTGAAGGGAGAAAAATTCATGCTTCCCAGTTATTCTAAATAGAAGTGTAACTCTTTCTGCTACTCGAGCAGGTAGGATAGAATACAGTTAGATTTCCCACTCTGTATCACATATGAAAATTATTGAAGATTTTGTGAATTTGAAGTAACAATGCCTACATTGTTTTCCATTATCATCAAATCACGGTGTGTCCTCAGGGGAGCTTGCAGTGAGGAAGTGAGATAAGGCTTGTGAATCTTGAATGTATCAGTGCATCTTCTATCATGATCACCTGGCAAGGTCGTTCTTAGTCCTGATTATGAGCACTACTTCCCTGTCAGCAGATGGGTGTTAGCACAGGTGTCCTTCTTCAGAAGCTAGATATTAAAAGCGCTCATAAATTTAAAGAATAGCTTGAGAATCCTTGAGGCACTGTTTTTTTCAAAACACGGAGTCTCTTAGTGGTACATGTTTTCTCTAAGTTTCTTTGTTTCACATATCCCTAATAGAGGTCCTCCATATGGAGTTCCACCAGACTGCACTGGTTGAGGCCTGTTCATGAGACCTTTGTATCCTAATTTTCCTCTAATCTACACAGGCCTAGGCCTGACTCTTTTCACGTATTACCTTGGCCTGGAATAGCCTCATGCGACATCAACAGTCCACCCATCCTTAGAAACAGGACACCACTTTTAGTTGTTATGGGCCTCCATGACCATAGTTGATCCGTTTATAATAATCCTAGGATATCCTCTCCTAAATCTCCAACTTGTAAGGATTCAGATTTTGGGAAATGGCTGAATCAAAAAGCAGATTTTTGTAAAGGTTCCAAAAGAGCAATCTTTTTTTACTTCAACTAGTGGACATTGACTTTTTGAAGGATTTTAACAGCTGATGAATTGCTTAATTATCTTGCTATGGAAATTAGATGTGAAAAATTCTTTTGCTCTAGATGATGGACCTTGTTTGCCCTAATGCAAACTCTATTTGATCAGATGATGACCATCAAAAGTTCATTACTTGTCTGATGGTAGGTGCTGGAATTTCTTCTGACGTTGTTGACCATGAAAGATGGTAAAAAACACACAGAAGCCTTAATTCAGAATCAAATCTGCTGTCTGAGACAAAATGGCATGAAGAACAAATCTTTATCATCAAAGAGAACATATATGCTGAACTTAGAAGTATCACACCTCATCAGCAGAAATTCTTGTGCAGGCCATGAAAACATAAGACTGTCTGCAGAACAGAAAGGCAGAGAACTGAGTGATGCTAAACTTTTATTATTGCCATATTGCCAGAACTGACTTATGTTGGTGGAAGCAGCACAGGAAATCTGCATGCAGATTCTGGGATCACAGTGAGCTACCTGCTGATGGTGATGCAAGTTCAAAAGACTGAGCAAAAAAGTCTGAGTCAACAAGGGGTGTGTCTGCCTCTACTTAACTTGTAATCTGAAAAATAGGACAGTGTGCAAGAGTTTACGTGGGAGTTGAATTTCTCCATTATTTTTCTTGACTTCTCTCAGTTGAGGAAATGAGACTTCAGTTAGTGTTCCAACAGTTTGGTACCACGTAACATCTACAAAACTATTTTTATGATGTTGCCTTTGCAGCTAGTTTGCATTACCTTCCATTCTGCCTGAGATCAGCATAAATAAAGCTAACTGTGCCAGGGCCTCTAGGCAGGATCCTTGACGGCGACAGACAGAAAGGATGTTGTTGGAAATAAACTGTACATCACACCCATCTCACCTTCCATCCAGTCAGGGCAGTCTACCAGGTCTCATCAGCTTTTTGAACTCTCTTCAGTTGGAATTAGCTGCATTTACATTCATTCACATAACCCATTGTGTTTGAATATAATCGGGTAATTCCATTTCAAGTTTGAGTCAAGTTCATATAGCATTTCTCAATTAACCAGGAATCATATAATTTAATTTCTTATCAAAGTCCTTCCTCTCATGCTACCTAAGATGGAAGTTCTGATGATGAGTACAGAAGCAGGAGTTGGTGGTGAGACTCGCACTTAATTCCTGCCCTAATGCTGACATCTTAACCTTCTCTTCTTTTCTCTGCAACTGAGTCCTCTATTTGCAAAATGGTGATAGTAACACATTGTCACCTCACAGTGGGAATGCATTTATTCATGAAATGATATAGTGGTGGAGATATAGGTGCTGAGGTCCAAATGGAGCTTTGAAGCACTTTGGAAATATTGGTAGGGTCCTAAATTAGGACTGACTTATGCTTATGTTTAATACCAAGAGCAGGTAAGTTTTTTGATGACTTAGTAGCCAGAAGCCCTCTTTAGGGAAATGTGTGAGGTGGTTTTTTTCTCATTTTCAGGAGCAATGCTGCATGAATGATCAATTTTACTGTTTAAGTCATCAGAAATCTTGTTTTGTTCAGAGAGAAATCTTCTGTTTTGTTTATGTTTTTAATGTAGGCAAAATTGGTTTCAGCCTGTTTTGAAACAAGAAAATGTCACACCTTATTAAAAATATGTCCAAACAAAATAGTTAAAATTTTTGAAATGTCTTTTATGCTTTTTCTAGTCAAAACTATTTTCAAATTTGCACTAATTTGTAGGCACTTCTAATGGACCTAAAATAACATACTTGGAGAATAAACTATCAGTTAAAGATTTTTTACCCAAACTAAGAACAGTAAAGACTTATTTTTGTCCCCAATGTCAGAAGGTCTGGCTGTGTATCCAGCAGATTTGCTGAGTAAGAAGGTGCCATTTTTATGTGGCCACATCTCTGACCATAATTGCACTTTAATGTAGAGTAACTGTAGGTTCAGAATTCCTGGGCTAACGTATATAATTACGTAACTGATAATTTCCTCACCAGGGGAGGGGAGAGTCCAGGACTGAATGTCACCCAGAGAGGAAATTAAACCCTTCAGACACAGAGTAATTTAAAGCATAGTTCTCATATTTGTGGGTCTCATGCATGAAGGACAGCTGGAAAAGACCTGATGAAAGCACTCTGGTGTGTATATAATTACTGTACTGACTTGAGTTTAGCAAAGGGATTTTGTCATGATCTAAATAAAACTTCCACAAACTCCAGGTTTGCTGGAGAGCTGCAGTCAGAAGCCTAAGCAATGACATTTTGTGTCCATTAGTGTAGCGGATGCTGTTATGCTAATAGTTGCTATTTTTAGTTTCAAGCATGCTGCTTGTGTGCTTCCAGGGAGCTGAGGAGAGGTGAGAGAAAGAAATATAGGAGAAACTCGTGTACCTGGCTTCCCATTCTGCAGCTCTTCAGTTTAAGGACAGAAACAATCCCATATCTCTCAATTGCCTCTCTCTCACTGTACTATGGACCCAGAGCTGCTTTTTTCTGCATCTGGTGGTCAGAAGCCTTTGTTTCTTTCTAATTTCCCAGTATTAAACTCCAATACTAATAGGAACAGCTGTAGATGAAGGATAAAAGCCTTGAACATCTGCATTCCAGCTCCTTGCACCATATTCTTTGTGACTGTTGCTTTATTTGCTTTATAGCATTATTGTTGCGTTTGGAAAGGCATCTATTTATTCTCACTTCTTTCTTTAGAAATAAAAAGAGAAAAAAAGCCTGATCAGATTAGTGATCCTGTGATTAAAAAAAAAACAAAACAAATAGCACTTTTCAGGCTCTGAGCATCTAGCCCACTGAGCGTCTGACCAGAATGTCAAGTTCTCCTCCTAAACTAATGTAAACAGTTTCTTTTCCATGTAACCATAGTGAAGGGAATTCCCAGTGAGTACAGCTATATTCCCATGGATTCATGTACTTAACTCCTTCAGTTGGCTGTAGTTTTTGTTTGGATCACTGTAAGCTGTCCTAAATAAAAGCAGTTGAGAGTCTGCAAGTATCTCATCTATAGCTAATGCTGAAAGTTCTCCATCTCTGATTAGTGCTGGGAAGCCAATTAAAACTCACAAAATTAACTTTTTATTTCTGGACAGATGAGAAGATTCAGATAGAATATTTTCATGTCAAGATCCTAAATAGGCAAGTGATGGTGTGAGTGCCACAACAAGCTCTGGAGGGCATTGTCTGCATGGCATGGTGCCCTGAGATGCTAGCTCTGCACAGCCTAGTATATTATCCCTGACAGAGTGCCACACTAATGCAGCTAAAGGACTTTTGATGTGCAAAGCAGCTTGTCTGGGTACCTCTGCATGGCACAGAGACAGACCTGAACCAGGAAAAGAAACTACTGTTGTGAGAAGCACCCAAAAAATGATGGGCCTTTTTGGCTTCTGAATCATTTAACCTGACTAAAGCCTAATAAAGACTCTTGACCCCTCCTTCAGTGAACGCTATACTGAAAACTTGTAAAACAGCTGCCAAAAGTTCAGCCCTTCCCAACAGCCTTCAATGGATAACTCACTCCTTGCCTGATCCACTGCGGCAGGGAAATAGATGTTACGACTTCTTTTGTGAATCATTTCAGTGTTTTCCTGATCTTTACTTTTTGATCATTTTCATTAGAAAAAAATCCTACTGTCACTGACTCTGGAGATTAGTGAAGCAGGACTTGATGTTGCCAGCAGTCCCTTGTTTGTTAACAGGGATTTACATGCTGGTAGGTGTAACATGGTCCGGTGTAAATACCTGAGTCTAGAAAGCAGTGTTATTTGTGAAGCTCCCTTTCCCTTCCTTTCCTTTCTGCAATATCTTGGTTATATTGTGTGTATTTGAAGTTTTTCAGGGAAGCTGTTACAGGCAGCTGACCTTCTGTTAAGTGTTGCACTGAAATGGTGAAGTAATAAAAGTTCTGCTGCTTGTTTCAGAACACAGAGTGAACCAGCTAACACATGGGGGATTCCCCCCATCCCTGCAAGTCAGGGGATTTCCAGCTGGTTGATTTATGTGCCATAGTTCCCCTTCAGCCCTCTGAGCCTTCTTCTAGGTCTTTGGTTCTTCCCAGCCACCTCCATTTGCTTCTTCCTTCTGCAGCAGCAATCACCTCAGCTCAGAAGTATTGGCCCCCTTTTTAGTGCCTCTTGCTTGTCACTTTACTCTGCTCCTGGCTACTCTTCTGGAATATGCTGACATACTTACAAGTGTCCCTGAGATAGCAAAATCAATTCTTTCAGCCAACGATATATTATTTCAGTGATGCACTAAAAGGAAAAATGCTGGAGGCCTCTGTGCTCAGAAAGCTGATGTTAATTTACGACAGAGTAAGTTAGGAATTAGTAGAACACCTCTGTTGACTTAACAGCAGTATCATGTACTTCATGTAAAATGCAACCCTAAGGTCAATCTGAGTGCGCATTCCTTTGTGAAGAGTTTGGTATCAGACTGTGATAAAATAGTCACACCAGTTTTGTCTGAGTCAACAAGTTATTATTTTTTTCCTTGCAGAAAGACAAGTTCTTTGTGTACGAGGAGTACTGTAGCAACCACGAGAAAGCACTCAGGCTGCTGATGGAATTGAACAAGATCCCAACAGTGAGAGCATTCCTCCTGGTAAGCACCTTCGCTAGCACTCTTGACTTAATTTTCTGACTTTACACCATACTCATAATACCCTTTTGGTATCCTAGGAACTCCAAGCATTTTGCAGACATAATCTATTCCAGCTACACAGCACTCAGGAAGGATAGGTATTGAAATGACTGCTGACTTCAGACACAGAACTAAGCCCAGCTCTGGTATGAGTAATTTCAGTGAATACAGGGAAGAATTTTTTTTTAAAGAAGCCACGGAAAAGTGGACCAAAGATTATGAAAGGAGTAATGCAATAAGTCAGCAGCAGACCTGCGACTAGCTCCCAATAGATCTGATTCCCTGCTCGGTTCTCTGACCAATTCACCATCTGAGGACCCACCAGAGAAATCTGGCCTGCTTCTGACACCCTTTTCCCTATGAGTCCAGTTGCAGGCAAGAACCATTGGAGGCTGGAAGAATTGTTTTGGCTGTGTTGTTGCTACTTGTATCAAAAATTACCCAGCTCCTCCTCCAGCCCATGATGTCTTAGTATCCAAGATGGGCAGGACTGTGGGATATAGCCTTCAAATACCTCTGTAGAGGCTGGGCACTACTGCATTAACCAGTAGACAGTGCCTGCTGTCTAATATTTCTCCTTCCAGCCTCTTCCCCAGTTCTCTTTGATTTTAGGTGTTTGTTGCTCCTGGCCACGAATGCAAGCATTTAGAACGGGGTTAGCAGGTAGATGAGGGACCAGTTCAACACTTTAGTTTTCTTTCTTAGTAAAAGCCATGAGGTAAAAGAAAGGCTGTCATTTTGCAAAGGACCTTCTTTCCTTTCTTTTTCACCAAATGCCTGCTCTTTCCTAATATAGTACAGCAGAAGAAAACTTCTGCATATATGTCTGTCACAAACAGGGCCAGAACAGTTTTTAGCTACAAAACATTGACCTCAGAGGGAGCAGCAGGGACAGGCACTCAGGCCGCTGGGTACTCAGAATCTCTTTTATCACCTGTAAGTGTTAATAAGCTCTGTTAAAACATTAATTTGAGTCACTAAAGGACCCCTTCCTTGTTTGCTGACTCCTCTGGCTGCTTCTGCTGAGAGAAACTAATGAGAGGGAAGAGAGACAAAAGTGCATGTAAACACCACCCTTCCTGACATCCAGAGTGCTCTCTGCACTGCCGCTGGAGTGGCAAAACCCCACGCCTGTGTTGCTGGCAGCAGCTGGCAAACTGATTATGAGGCACGTAAAAGATCACACTGTCAGCTGTGGCTTGCTGCAGCACCTGAATCCAAGAGATTTTTAAAATAGCAGTAAGTATGGGAGGGCAGGCAATGCTGAAGTGCTGTCTTTGCTGTGGCTGCTGTAATTTCTTCCAGGCCTCCACCTCTTCCCAAAGCCAATGCTATCATGTCACCATGCAGTGAAAGCTGCATTAAAATACAAAGCTCTGCTTGTGAAGATGGATTTGGCCTGGTTGTCCCCTCACAGCTGCTGAAATATAGAATGTGGGAATGTGTCTGAAAAATCAGTAAGTGTTAAAGGGCAGTTTCAAGCCCAGAGCTAAAGGGAGGGCCAAAAGGAGAGATGGGAAGGACTGAATCACCCGAGACTTGGAAAATTGGACAGGGAGTGTTGTGAGCTGGTAGCCAATGCCACAGATCTAGAATAGCCTGGGGAAGGGTTATTTTACAGACGATTGTCTGTAAAAATACCACTTAGGACTAATGAGATTTATGTATGATGTCTGTGAACACTTCTTGAAGAGGAAGATTATTGAACTACAGCCAGAAATCCACTGAATTTCAGAGTGTGTCTGAGCCACAGCACACAATTCACAGGGGAAAATATTATCAGTAATGCCCCAAAGCAAGCACATCTCGACTAAACTGGGCTTAAATTTCAGCTGCTGTTAATGGTGCGTGGGCTTGCCACTGAGGTGGTTTTTGGATCAAAACTGACGAGATTCATGGTTGAACACAGGCACGTAGAATTAGCTTATATGAAACCGATACGAAGTCCAACTCCATCCACTACCTATCTCCGGCAGCAACCAGGACCAGCATCTTCAGGGAAGTGTTAAAAAGGCTTATGGTAGGCTAATATTTGATTATCATATAGGGCTTACAGTTTATTGTGGAGAAATAAAGAGAGGTGAAGGACTCTGTTTTTTTTTTTTTTTTGCCACACCCAGTTCTTACACTCACCTTCCACATCAGCCCTGAGAGAGAAATTTCTATAATCCCCTAAAAAATTAATCATCACTTATTTCCTGGTACTGTGCACAAATTTATCTGTGAAATTATTCTGGAATGTAATGGTCCCTCCAAATGGGTGAGGGCTCAGTGTGCGAGTATTACAGGAGTTGATCCGTGGCTGCTACTTTTTTTCAACCTGAAATCTGTTTGGACTTGAATTTTTTTGGTGCATTGGTCCAGCATTTGGAAAGCATTTATATTGTCCCCTTCCTTATTATGTGTAAGTGACACGAGGAGAGTAGTCATCGTCCTGGGTAGAAAAATGCCCTTGACCACCTTTGTGTCTGGAAACCACAGGGCCTCACAGAAAGTTAATACTGAAACCCAATGGACTTTCCCATGAGCATCAGAACTAATGAAATCTGTTTGCCTTAAGTTTGTGCTATTGCCTCTTGCCTCAGTGTCCTCCTACCCATATAGTAGCCTTGCCTGCACATCCCATAACTTTTTTTTTTTTACTTGGCAAGTAGCAACATGCATAGCAACCAGTTCAGAGCTGCGTGTGCTGTTTAGCCAGCCAGTGCACACATGCTGTTTAGCCAGCTGGGTTTAGACATAGTATTTTGCCTGAGAATTGGTGGATGTGATGCAGATGACTCGCTTATTCCAGTTCCACCTTGATTTCCTTCAGGCAAAAGGACTGAACTTGAGTTATTTATTCCTAGTTAGTAGGCTTTATTTTAGCCTTTGAGTATTTTCTGGACCAATAATGCAAACTTTGCAGAGTGAATGAAGTGACAAATGGTCATGTTGACTGCAGCAGTAAGTTGGATTCCTTTAGCTAACGGCACACCTAGCTCTGTGGATTGTCATCCTGTTGTTATGACATTTTTTGAGTCAGCAACTGCACAGTATTTTCTCTGGGAAGATATCTTTATAACCAGTCACAGTTATGCACAATGATTTTTCTTTTGCTGATGCATGGAGAGTTTTGCAGGCTTGACTTGATTGCTGTGTTTCAGTGGTGAATGGAGTCCTATTTCCTGTATCTTAGGAGTGGCAAAGTGCTTTGTGACCATAGTGAATGTTATAGAAATAAAAAATCACTGTTAAAGAGCATGTGAAAGCTTTATGTCTGAGACAACATTTGTTTTCTTTTTTGATTATAGAGTTGTATGCTTTTGGGAGGCAGAAAGACGACAGATATTCCACTAGAGGGTTATCTGCTGACTCCAATTCAGAGAATTTGCAAGTATCCTCTTCTGCTTAAGGTAAATCAAGGAAATAATTTCTCCAGCTAGTTGCTTTATTCTAAGCAACTAGCAGTGATTCTACAGCTTTTTAACCCTGGATTTGCTGTCACAGTGACCTTCCTGGTTTACACATCTACAAGTTGTATCCCGTCTGCAGTAAATGGCTTTTTATGGGCGCAAGTCAAAAAGCTGGCTGGAGGCTGACAAGCTGTTAAGTCCTGTAATGATGTAGGCAGACCAGGCAGGGTGACTTGCTGACTAAGTAATGCCTTTTGACTTCAGATATCTTCTGATGTTTACTAAGACTTGGGAGTGCTATTTTAGCTACTTCCTGAAAAGCTGTGTTCAAACAGAATTGTATCAGTATTCTGGGGCACTGGATGGCTCAGGGGACTGGAAATGGAATATATATCTTTCATCACTAGGTCTCAGTTTGAGTGTGTTCAGGTCAGCAATGATCAAAATCCTTTATCGTCTGACAGCTGTTTGGCAGCTTGTTTGAAAACTGTTTGGTTGTCTCCCTGAATTCCCAATGGACAGGTGTCATTGCAGAAAAGACTACTGCAGTTGGCACTAATTGGCCCCCTTCTTGGCAGACCTAAAAGGAGCTAACTTGCCTCACATCCCTTCAGGTCAGGTCTGGGTCACACTTGCGGTGGGAACAAGGAGAGGGAAAAGGAGAAAGTAGTTTCTGGGAGAGCTTGCATCACCAATGGCTTTGTAGCCACTCTGTGGCTAAAAGCTATCAGTCTCCAGTGGTGTCATTCTCACATTAGAGTAATATTCCACTTGCTAAAATAAAATTAACTAATAAAAAGTGTAAGAAGCAATTGCCTCCTATCTCAAAAGAAAGGTCCCTTCCTGAGTTGTGGAAGAAAGTAACAATCCTGTGATGAGCTGATGTGATCCCTTGCTCACAGACTGACCGCATGAATTAGCTGTATGTCATGTCAAGCTATCGCAGAGCTGTGTTCATAAATTCAGCATGAATAAGGGCTTTCATAGGTGCAAGCTGGTTAGCTCAAAACCGACATGTTGTGTGCTTTATTAAAATGCTGTCTGTTTAGTCTGATGGCAATTTAAATTATTTCTCTCCATATGATTGGAGCTTTCAGAGTGAAACTTCCAAAATATGGCCTTCCTGCAGGTGGGATCATTTGTTGTCTGTGCAGCTGTGCACAAACCCGTCTTACAGCAGACATTCATGCACCATTCCTTGGGGACTCAGCTGCTAGGATTTACATGCACACAGGCAGTTTGAGGCAGTCCACCTCAGTGCAGGCTGCGCGTGTGGTTTTGAACAAACAAAAGCACATGCAGTTTAGACACATAGCAGGAGAAGCTAATGTGATGTTGCTATGGCTGTTTCTTCTTCTGACAGCGTTAGTCAGAACAGGGCAATGATCTTTGTCAAGATCAGGAAAGCACACAAATGTCTCCAACTTTGATGTGTCTTCAGAGAGGAGAGTGGTTATGTAGAGATAACTGTAAACCTAATGATAACTCAGCTTAAGTCTACTAGGTTTGTTTATTTGGGGTTTGTGTGGAGAGGATTTGGTGCTTGGTCCATCAATGGATCTGCATGATGACTGTGAGCAACATCCACGTGTACAGAAAGAGAGCTCCTCTGGCATCTGATATGGTAAACAGACCAGAGAACATGGGGTTGCTGAAATGCACGTTCCTGATCAAGTATATTGTTAGTGTTTGTTTTCTTGTTTTCATTCTGTGGTGTGTTCTGTGGTGGTTATCTAGCTGCATTAGAAATTGAAAATTGGAGATTATTTTGATTCCTTAGAGAGATCCCTTTTATATTTTCCAAGGAACTTCAGCCAGAGGAAAGTAGTGGTTGAATTCTTTCTTTTGAACTGTTCTCTACATTTGTGTTGTTACTAAAAGACAAAGTGTCAACCTCCTTCAGATTTCCTGGCATGGTTACCCTTGTATGAGGGGATTTGTTAGCAGGTACAGAGCCTGTGGACATGCATCTGAGCATAGCCAGAGTGGTCAATGTCTGGTGTACCCTTGCTATACCCATCTAAAAGTGATTGTTAATGAGTTGCATCACAGTATTTTCCAAACTTTTTGGACCAAATGATCACTGTTAGCACTCGGTGCTTCTCATATTCTACTCTGTATCCTTCTTGCTAAGCTTTTAGTAGCTCTAAAGTCAGTGTGGTTTCATGTATAAGCTATGACCACTCAATATGTGGATGATCAACGATCTCTGAAGCACCGGTTGGGGATCACAGCTCTAAGCCATTCACATAGCTGGCTTAAGGAACTCCCTGACATGTCTTTTGCAGCTCAGTGCCTCTTCTTTTTCTCTATCTATCTAGTAAGACTTGGTTGCTGAATCATCCATTGCTAATTAGGGCTGCTTAATTTCTAAGCTTTTTGGAAAACAGGGTGGTTATGGGTAGATTTCTACCAGTCTGGATAATCTGTAGACATTTTATCTACTGACAGAAGTTTGACTTGTGAACCAAAATCTCCATTCTGTTTTAAAAGTCCATCAAAATATTAGAATGGCATAAGCTGCAAATACTACAAAATTTCCTGAAATTGCAGAACTTTTACTCAAAAATTAATGAGATATACTCTATTACTCAAATATCATGAGGATGTTTACTACAGGATCACATCTAAAAGAGACAGCCACTTTTGATTACAAAGTAGTAGTGCCATTGATGCAATGGTATTTTGATGTTCTTCAGCTTACATTTTTCCACTCCTCTGTAACTTTCTAGGACAAGCCTCCCCGAACTTATGGGATTTGGTATGAGGGATTCGAAGAGCTATGAATGGACCAGTTTTTCTTGCTTTGCTCCAAGCATTTATTTTGCAAAGAGGGAGCAAACAAAAGACCAGAACAAAATAAATATCTCTAAACCATAGTTCAAATCTGTCCAAGTTCAGTGTCAACCAAAGTCATTATGCTCTGGGGATCAAATATTGGCCTTTGGAAATAAACTAGCGGTTTCCACTTTCTCACATATACACAGTTGAAGAAGCCTACTGGCACAGACCTCCATTCCTTGAAAGCCAAAAATAAGACCAGCAAGGCTAAGACTGAAACAGCCTCTGTTACTTTCAAGCCATAATAAGACAGAGCGAAGATAAATTTGCCCTCCTGATGCCAACACTGCCTGCCTTCTGGGTGGGGACTCTGGTGTTTGGATCTGGTGCTGTTCACTCAGAACCACACGTGCTTGGTGGGACGAATAGATGCGAAAGGAATAAACTGGAGGGGCTCTGATGAAGTCTTGTGTTGTTGCATTCCATTTTTTATGGATTTCTTTTTGTATCCTGATTGATATAAACCACACACTGCTCGCTACTTGAAATTTCCTGGACAAGAAATCAAAGTTTTAAGAAAAAGACGAAAGGAATTTAGTTTCTGTTAAGCAACAGATCTGCCTCAGTCAGGGAGACTATGCCATTACCAGGGGTTGTTCAACTCAGAAAATATCTGTGATCACTAGAAGGTATAACTAATGCTGATTCTCAAAGGTGATGAGCTTACGGTGAAGGAATGGTGTCCTTTTCAAGACTTGTTTGATGCTTGCTAGCACAGAATTGCCAGAGTGGACATGAATGTTTCAGACATGAGAATGACTAAGAGAAAACACAGGCTGATTCTGTTAGTGCTGACCAGGAAAATGCAACTCCCCAAACAAAACATAAAAGTAGATTTTACAATAACACAGCCCTCAAATTAAGCATTTGCTCTCCCTTTGCTACTGAACTGCAGTTATTGCTCCTGAAATAGCTGTTTTGTATTCCTGGGGGTTGGATCTTATTTTATCTAATTCCCATGGCAAACTCATACTCTTGTACTCCAACTGATTAGAAAAATTGTAGACCAAGAGCTATCCTACTTTCTTCTTTTACTTTTTTTTTTTAACAACAGTTTGTGAACATCCAGATTTTCTGATAACTTTGACATGACCTTGTTACAGTATAGTTGTTTAGTATAGCTAAGTAGTTAGGTTTGAAAAAGACTGTATGAACGTAGTAATTCAGACTTGTCTACACTTGAAAGTCAGCCTAAATAATAGGGTAAGGCATATATTTAATAACTATTTTTGATTAATACCACATGTGAATATTGTTCTTCCAGAATAAGAGCATCCAACATGGAGTTACTTAATTAGGAATAATATACTGGAATATCTCCAAGCGCAGTTACACTTTAAGCAAATATTACCAATAATTTTCAGTGTAATATATGATATCCTGTAATTGGTAATGTTGTGTTTTCTCATCTTCTGTCTCATGAGGCTATTTGGTTTTTTGAGCCAACAAACAGTGCAGCTTTGGAGTAGTTGAGTGTAAACAGTTTTTTTTTTTTGGTTGCTTTCTTTGGAAGTCTGTCCAGTTTGCAAACCTTGTGTATGGTTTGAAGTGTGGGACTCAAACCTATCCACTGTCTTTCATTATCTCTGTGCAAATAGAGTAGCAATGACATTAATATTTTTATCCCTAATATAGCTTTTGTCTGCTTCAGCCAGCATGCAAGAGAATTAGCACAGAATTTGTTGGTCAGCAAAATAGTTTTATTCCCAGTGCAAAACCCCACTAATGTGACTTTCTTCCCTTTTCTTTTTTCTTGCTGTCACACTTCAGCAAAAGAATTGAAGTCTATTTTGGGATGTAGGAGTTCTGAATGTTTGTCTCTTAGCAATGAGCCTCACTATAAATTTTCCCTTAAACATGGGAAAGGGGCTTGGAGAAGGAAAACAGAACTGTGCTTACTGTGATGCACATACGGTTTGGTAAAGGAAAAGAGGCAAAGGCAAACTAACGCACAGCCCTTGAGAGCGTATACTGTGTGAGTGACTTAAACTCCAGTGCGGATGTGTACGCTGGAAAGCTTGCCGAGTAAATGTTTCTAGCAGAATGGTTTGGATTAAGGCATCTCTGTCTCACTGATAATAATTGTATGACTCTGTTAATTAGTGGGAACTGCACTTTTTAGGAGTAGAAGCAGCTGTTGTGTAAACCAATCTCTGAAC